TTAGTAAAAAAAAAAGAAAAAGATAAAAGCAAACTACAGCAAACAAAAGAAACCACAGTCCTGAACATTATAGTTTCTTTTTAAAATACTTATTTTTTATTGTAGAGGCAGATTTACAGAGAGAAATAGAGACAAAAAGCTAGATCTTACATCCACTGGTTCACTCCCCAAGTGGCTGCAACAATCGGAGCTGAGTTGATCCAAACCCAGAAGCCAGGATCCTCTTTTGGGTTTGCCATGTGGGTACAGGGTCCCAAGGCTTTGGACCATCCTCTACTGCTTTCGCAGGCCACAAGCAGGGAGCTGGATAGGAAGTGGAACAGCCAGAAGAACATGGGCCTGCACCAAACGGGATCCCAGCACATGCAAGGCCAGGATTTTGTCATCAGCTCCCTTACATCAGGCCCCAAATTAGTCTTTAAAAAGTAAAATACTGGTTTATTGCTTGGAGAATTCTATGATACAATGGAATTCACATTGAATGGAAATTCAATGGAATTTCCCAGACTGAAGCATTGCTAAAAGAATACCTGTTTTCATTGAACAACAAAGTATTTAGGCTTAGAGAGAACTGCCCAGACACCCTAACCTTAATAGCCAAAACATGGGTACTGGTTGCACTATATGTATGTCCTTGTGTGTCTCCTGTTACAGCAAAGCTGTAAATTCCAGTGTGATTGAATATCCCATACTTTTCACAGGAGCATGACTTCTGGGTTGGGAACACCTTTCAACTCTCAGCTTCCAGATGTTAACAAAGGGGGAAAAAAGAGAATGGGGAACAGTTCCCATATGTCCCGATGAAATGAGGCAGAACAAATGGAAGAGGATGCCTGGCACGTGCCGAGAGCTGGAAGTGTACATTACTAAGAGAGATAGGCACGTCTGGGCAGATGCAGTAACTCATGTCAGATTAATGGCACTTTTTGCAAGGGAGAAGTCTGGCTCTAGGTTTTCTAAGCTAAATTGCATGAAAACATTCAATCCTTTTTCCTCTTATTTGAACTGCTGGGTGACGGGACCAAATTGCTAGAAAAACCAAAGGCAGTTTACAGCCTTTAACAATTGAGAGGATGTATTGCTTCCCGTCTGGAACCCCAGAAGATGCTGCTGTACTCTGAGCACTTGCAGGTTTCAGGAACTGCCCATGAGTTATGTGACAAAAGAAGGCTAGGAACCAGAAAGAGCATCACAATTCCACACTGTCCAGAAGTAAATAAGGAGTTACTTCAAACAGGAGTTTTAAAAAAAAAAATGCTTTGCTCTCTCTCATTTTCTCTCTGGTTAAATGTGGTCCCATTGTCCTTGGCCTTTCAGTGTCGTTAAGTCCTAGTGGACAGATTATTTTACAGATCTAATCAAAAGTCATTAAGACTGTAAAGGCAGCCAAGCTGTCCTCCAGCTCCGCACTGGAGAACCCAAGAGAGGTAATGCATCTGGTTTTCAATACCCAAGGCCATTCTGTGTCCATCCTTAATTGCACTTATGTATTGGTTTGGACTCTAATATCTCCACCTATCTTTCTCTTGTTTCCACTATTCCACTATTAATACACAGCCTAGAAAACATAATTGCAGTGTGTGGCAGACAGCTATTTTCATTAAGTACTTAGGAGAAGGCTGTTTAGGGGGAGCCCAGTCTTTCCTATTGATCCAATCAAAATGACATGGAGGAAAAAGATGACCTTCTTATATTCTTTTCCGAAAAGTACTGTTAAAATTTAAATTCTCTTGATACCACTTTTTAAAGCATATAACCTCTGAAAATCTTGTCATTTTTCCCCCAGTTGCTTTGAAGTATGTGATATTTATTAGAGAAAAAGGAAATGGAGAAAGGGAGAATTTTTTTTCACATGAGAGGTAGAATATATAATCAAGGCTTTCTGCAAATATCGAATTGTCTAACAATACAAGGGCAACTGAAAAGCAGCAGCAACAAAGACAGAGTTGTGTGAAATTACAAGAGGGTAAACTGTTTAATAGGTTTGCAATACTTATCCTAAGGTCTTTAAGTAGGGACAGATGTACATCTAACAGTAAGGTTTAAAAAAAGGCTAATCATTTTTCCACGTTCATTCTTTTTGATTTTGAGTAGTTTACTCAATGGAATTCTTTCATTCTGAGCTAATTACCAGGTAAAATATAAGACAGAGAAATCTGACAATAAAACACACAGCCCCACTATACCACTGATCTAAGTCCTTCCCCGCTGGACCAAGTATGAGATACAAAATTTTCAGGTGGTGCCAAATCCTTCTTTCTAGGAGAAAACTGTATCTGGGTAGAAATACCTGGGTATTTTTGCTAGAAACCTTTGACATACCAGAAATATGACACAAACTAAGGACTGGTCCTTATAGAAATGGCAAGAATAGGGCTGACACTGTAGCATAGTGGGTAAAACTGTTGTGTTTGGGTGCTAGCATCCTGTATGGGTGCTGATTCATGTCTGGCTGCTCCACTTCAAATCCAGCTAATGAGCCTGGGAAAACAATGGAAATGATCTAAGTATTTGGGTCTCTGTACCCATATGGGAAACCTGGAAGAAGCTTCTGGCTCCTGGCTTTAAATCAGCCCAACTATAGCCATTTTGGCCATTTGGGGAGTGAGCCAGCAGACGTAAGATCTCTCTCTCTCTCAGACTTTTGAATAAATAAAAAATCATTTAGCAAAGAATTCCCAAGGACTGTAAAGTTTCAGTAGCAGACATCCTAAACTGACCCATGAAAACCATTCAGTTAAGTTCTGAAATCATTCATATCAATAAAAGAACTTGCTGGTTTGTTATTTTTTGTTTGGTTTTGTTTTGATTGGGAAAGTCAGAAAAGTGGTCCAACAAATACATCTGGAAGTATAAAGAAACCCAGATTCTAGAAAGAGCTATGAAATGAACTAATTATGTCTCTTGGCTCCCATGACGCAAATGTGTAGAGCAGAGCTGCAGGAATATCACTACAGAGTCTTCTGAAATGTCCATTCAATTACCAGGCTGTTTCAACCGGATGGTGGTGGAGATGAGGTCACTGTGACGTTCTTAGGCATTTTTCTTAGAAGGCAGTTCTCATATGACCTCCCGAGAATTCATGAGAACATGATTATAAAAGCATAGGGTATTTGTCCCCATCACTGTTACTCCACATACACTGTCACCGTTGCTATTGGTGCCACGGAGTCACACAGCCCATGAAGAGGCATTACGCCTTTGCCCTGATGTTTGGACTGATGTCTCCAAAACTGTGAAGCACAGCTCCACACAATCAAACACTATCCACTATCGATATCAACACAGTCAGGAAATGAAACAAAGGACTCCAGCCTTTGGCATTTGAGGCCCTCCATGGCATTGATCACAACTGCTATTCTACACTAATTTTTCATTTCAGCACAACTAAAGGTCCTGTCGAACACCTACTAATGTTGTTTTCATTTGCTAATGTAGGTGCCCTCTGGACCACTAAGCTGTGTTTCCCTCTTAGAGTACAGCATGTGTCACATCTACTGGGATAACATATTCCTCAATGTCCTTTTGAAATGCCATCACTTCCACAGCAGCTTTCTTAAAGGTCCTACCTAGATATGACCTTTTTAGCTTAGTCCTTCACAGTGCCATGCATTTACCACGTAACCGATCTATGCTAAGTTCATGTGCACTCAGGAATAAGGTGAGCACACTTATCAGCGATCAAAGGAAAACATTCCAACATTATGGGCTGTATCTTACCTATCTTTGCACTAAAAGATCTATCCCACCACATGGGTATCACCCAATACATTGGATCTGGTTTCATGAACTTAAGTTCAAAAGCAATTAAATGTTCCTACAATCTAGTGAAATAACAGGGGTTATTAAAAAGTGAAAAGACTACAAAGTACTATAAACAGATTTTTAAAGAACACTTTGTCAAAATATATTCCTCTTTCTATTCCACCTTCCACAATTTTTAAGTACTCCCTTGACAAGAGTAAGTTGTGTATAATGTAGGACTTGCCTACCAAGAAAGCTGTCGAGTCACCTAAAGAACAAAAGAATGAAATTCTGCCATTTGCAACAATATGGTCCCAAGTAGAATAATATGCTTAGTGAAACACACCAGATCCAGAGTGACATATATGATATGTTCTCGCTATATAGGCAACCTTCACGCAAATTACTAAACAGATACATAGGTCAACAAGTATATAAGTATATATATATATATATGTATTTTCATAGATGAGGTATATAATGGAAGTTTTTGCAGTATGCATTTCTAATTCTGAATTAAAGGAAGTCTCCCAATTAAACTGTTAAATATAATTTGACTGTATCATGTCAGACTTTTCACATTTGCTTGTATCTACCATGCCATGATACACCTAAATAGAAGGTTAAACTTGCAATTGTTACTGAAGGACTATACAACTGTGACAATATGGAGTGAGCTGCTGAAGACGGAATGGGAAGGGAGGAAGGGTAGGGAGAGGGAGGACTCCCCATACCTACAAAAATGTAAAATAACAGAAATAAATTGTTTTAATAAGTAAAATCAATGTAAAAAAAGTGAATCAGGCAGCTGGCCAAATAGTTCAGATGCCAGTTAAGTCAAAAGCAGCCTGCAGTAGAACAATAGAATTTGAATCCCAGCTTTGGGTTCCAGTTCTTTCTTTCTACTGATGTGCACCCCAGGAGGTAACCATAATGGCTCAAGCAAATGACTCTCCTCCACTCACATGGGAAGCCTGCATTGCATTTCCAGCTCCTGGCTTCAGCCTGGCCTGTCCTGACTGCTGCAGACAACTGGTGATTGAAGTAACATATAGAATGTCTTTTTCTCTCTCTCTCAAGACAATGATTCAAAAAATAATAATAAAGGACAGGACACATCTTACATGTCTGGAGTAAGGCATGTAAAATGACTCAAAGACCATGGTGATAGGTGACTTCCAGAGTGGTTCCCAGACCTGCCACATTGCAAGGACCTCGAGAGCCCCGGGCTTCCTTGGACAGCCCTGCACACTCACCTGAACTCTCGTCCAGACTCTCCTCAGAGACATGTTCATTCTGATGGACCCACTCTCCATTGCATTTGAAGAATATCTGCATAGCTGGTCGGGCCTTGCACCTGAGTGCAATTGGGTTGCTCTTGATGATGTATGCATCATCTGGCTCCTCTATGAAATGGGGCAGCGTCCCCGGAGCTGATGGGATGGAATCAGGCAGGACTTCACTGCTGTCAGATCCTGCAAAAACCAAAGAGGACATTAGGACAGAGCCAGCACCAACAGTGCACAAATCACAACACTGCTGCCTGGCGTAACAGGATTCCTTTAGCTGGATAGATCTTCAGTGGGCAAATGACAATAAGGAGAACTCAGAGTCTTTAGTTTCAAATCTGAGTGCTTTTACCCCAAAGAATGGAACTGAGAGCTGTTTGAAAATCCAGATTCACCCTTGCCAACAGTGACTTAGAGGGTCCAAGGAGAACTGCAAGCTACCTCCAGACTATGAGAAAGTGATAAGAATTCATGTTGTCTTGGCACAGCTGTGTGTCAGAAAAAGCTATTATGGAAGAAGGATACACAGTCTTAAGACACTGTCCAACAATCCTAAAGTATCCACTTTTCCGTCCCTCCTCCCCTCCAAAAAATACCTATTATATTTTACAGATTGTCTGGCATTCTATCTCATGCAACTCAACAAAGGACTCTACAAAGAATGTAGAATTCATCCTGAGTTCATCTACCAGCCCTGGCATTCCTCTACCATATACCACACATTACCTATATCTAGTCAGGCACCTTCATGGGGGAAATGGTTTACAATGGCAGACTCTGACTCAGCTAAGGAGGAACTTCCACCCAGTTCCTGATGATCTGTAGGGCCCCAGGCCTAGACTAGCTGATGCCCTAGACACACCCTGGGTCTGTCTTGATGGATCCTTGTCAGAACAATTCCCAGATATCTGCATACGTGTTGATGCAGCAGACTCATTGTTTAATTTCTAACCTCCCCCAGTCATTATCCCTGTCTCTTTAAAAAACCCTCTTGGTGGCTGGCAAGGCAGAGCTCTTTTCCCCAAGATGCTGTCTTCTTAAACTGTTTCCTCGCACCAACACTGGACTCTGGTGACTTAGATAACCAAGCAGTGAGCAGCACATCCCTGAAAATCTGTCCCAGAACAAAAGAATTATTAAGGGGTTGGTGTTCTGGCAGCTGCAGACAGGAGCATCACATATCAGATTCAAGACTATGAATCCAGGCTGCTCTACTTTGGATCCAGCTCCCTGCTAATGCACCTGGAAAAGCATTAGATAATGGCCCATGGGCTTGGGCCCCTGTAACCAATGTTAGAGACCCAGATGGAGTTTGTTAGCTCTTACACACAGTTAAGTCCTCTTTTCAGCCCATTAAAGCCAAAATATCAGATGCAGCAAAGTACTTAGGAGTGTCTTTCTTCCAGCAAGGTAGGAACAAGAGAGGGGCTGGAGAAAGAGAGAACAAGAAGGGAAACATCTCTTGCCATGGTGGCAGGATGAGGCTGCAGGGAAGCGTAAGAGGGCAAGATTGAGGAGGATAAAGGAGAGCCTGGTAGAGAAGGGGCAGCACGTGCAGGGGAGAGAAGAGGAAGTGGATGGGAGGGTGGCCATGCAGGATTAGTGGATGGGATTGTTGGAGATGCAGAGGATTGGTAGTTGGGCAGGGATTAGGAGGAGGGTCACGATGGTGGGTGGGATTGTCAGGTATGGCACCATGTGGTTACAGCCAACCAGAACAATGTGAAATTGGTGAGCCATGGGAAGAAGTAGTAGGCAGTAATGCCAGGTCCGGAATGGTGGGGATCACATCCATCTCCAAAGCACTATTCCAGCCACTCTTCACAATTTCAGGCTTTTGGCTTTGAAAAAAATAGGATTTTTTTTCCCCCTTTTTAGAAAAACTATTAAAGGTAGCCATAGTTAATTAACAGCAGTGGGAAAGTATGATATTAAGGATCTTTAAAAAATTCATATTACATAAAAAATGTGGGGGTAGAGGACTTAGACTTCAATAGATATTTTATATAAAGAAAAACATAGACTGAGTTAAGCAAATTACTCCTTACACTGGGAATACAATGGCAGTATTTTCCATGTTAATGAATTAAATATAACAATGCTGGATTTTCTCAAACAAGATTTTCTCTCCAGTTAAACACATCAATCTAAGTAGCCTCACATTACTGAGAGAGTTCAAGATACTATAGGTCCTGTCTCATATTTGCCAGGGAAAATGTAATCTATATAAGTAGTTACAACTATCAAACATCATCATAGCACAAAGAGGCTAAGAGTCTACGTGGACAGCTGATGGTTGAGAGTACCACAGAGTTACTCAGAAAAGAAAATGCATGGCCAGAGGACAGAGAGGGAGAGGGGTTTCAACATAGAATGTCAGATGCACTTTCCCCTAATGTTCTAAAGCATATTTACAATGGACTTCATAAAACATCATATATTAATTTATTTTGTTACTGACTGCTGGAACCAATTTCATCTTCAATAAATACCAAGTCCCCACAGGCTTCTCCAAATCTACGCATTAGAGAAAATGACCAAAGTATGTGTACATTCACAGGCTCACACTCTCACAAGGGGCTCCAGTTCTGCCCTGAGAAATTCACTATTGCATGAAGGAAGTTACCAGATAAAGCACACAGGTATAAAGCTCTAGAATTAGGCTAAGTGGATAGGCACCGTGTGCATGTGAAATGATACATGCTTGCTTAGCTAGTAACCACCAACAAACAATGTGTCAAGATAAGCTGAACAAACCCTGGAGGTGTTGGAGGTAGGAGGATTTTGTAAGGACAGACCTGCAAGCAAATAGTGAAACCACATTTATCAGTTATAAATAAAATGTTCAGTGAAGGCAAAGGATCGTAGGGCGAAACTATTTTTAACCACCCAAAACTCATATAACAGAGTACTTGGAAAGCAATCAGAGTTTGACTCTGCATTAAATGACATTTAAACAAATGTCATTCAACAAAGTAGAAAGCTTGGCCTGCATGTGGAACATGGAACAGCACAAGCAGAAAAGCAGTGGGGAGAGGTCATCGTCCAGGCTTAGCCACGGAACTCGCTTGAACGCTTCCAATCCAGCTTCCTGCTGATGGGCCTGGATACAGCACGCAACAGCCAAAGCACTGAGACTCTCGCCCTCCATGTGAAAGTCCCTGATGGACTCATGAGCTCCTAGCACTGGCAGGTCCCAGTGCTGTAACTAGTTGTCACACCAATTTATGAAATAAACCAGTGGATGAAAGATCTTTCCGTCTTTCCTTCTATGTTACCTTGCCTTTCAAATCAATAATAAATCTTAAAAAAATTAATCTTAATGTTCAGGGGAGGGAAAAACATAAAACACAACATTTCATCATAAATATTATTGAAGTAATGTCAACTGTGGCTTACTACATTTCTTTATAATTTAATACTCATGTACATGAGGGTACCAGAAAACACTAATAGAAAATGTAATTAAGACATAAATTTAGGGGGTCAACATTGTGGTTCCGAAAATTAGGCTATTATTTGCAATATTGGCACCTCATATTTGAGTATTTGATCAAGTCCCAGCTACTTCACTGGAGATCCACTTCCTGCTAATGTGCCTTGGAAGGTTTGGGCCCCTGCCAATCATGTGAGAGATCTAATGAAGTTCAAGGCTCCTGGCTGCAACCTGGCCCAGTCCTGACTGTCACAGTCATTTCAGGAGCAAACCATAAGATGGCAAGATCAGTCTTTGTTTCTGCCCCTTGTTCTCTTTCTTTGCCTTTCAAATACATACATGAAATTTTTTTAATGTAAACTTATTTTCCTGCAAATGGTGTTCTTTCTTTTTACTTGTCAAACTCTTTAGCTAATGAAGTATTAAACTTGTGCCTATAAATTAATTAAAAATACGCTCTTGAAAACATTAAAGAAAGCAAGGAGGAGGGAGCAAGGTATCATTCTTTGAATTATATCCATGGACTACACAAAATTTGCTCTGTTTACATTAATAAAAACTTCAAAATTTGCAATTTTTCGTAAAACACATCTCCATGAACTTGTTAACAATCTTACCTATAATAGCAAAATCACAGTAAGTTCAAAACTCCTGGGAGATGTATTTGGTGTGAGTGGTGAACAAAGCAGTTAAAATGCCACTTGGGATGCCTGCATCCCATATAAAAATACCTGTTGTGAGTTCCAACTCTACGTTCTGGCTAACATGCAAACTACAGGGCAGTAGGTAATGGCTCAGGTAGTTGGATCTCTCTCTGTTAACCACTCAAGAAACCAGACTGAGTTCCTGGATCCTGGCTTCAGCCTTGCTCCCCTTTGAGACTATTTGGGAAATGAACCAACAGATGAGATATTTTTGTCTTCTTGCTTAGTGGTTCTCAAATAAAATATATGTAAGTAACTTAAAGAACTCTGAATAACAGTACACTGAAGCACAGGACGCAAATGCTCACAGCTCACACAAGGTGGTCCTGCACTGGAACACTACACAATGATTGCCTGTTGACTGGATCCCAAGAGTATCTGCTTCACTAGGCAGATGATGATGCAGAAACAAGACATTTCCTAACATTTCAGAGCTGCTATCACTGTTCTATGGAAAGGAAGCAAGGTGCCTTGGTAACAGCTCTTTGAATTCCAGTTGCTTTCTTTATCTTGTGTGGCAGCATGCATGTGAGAGCTGACACCCATCCCATGGAAGTCTACAGCCATCATCTAAAATGGCACAGCACAGCTGGATTCCCTACTTTTACTTACATAATTGTGACTTGTCTCCATATGGTTACTTAATTAGATAGGGGAGGCATTATAATCATTGAATACAAAACAACAGCCGGAATTTTACATGCCGAATATTTAATGCAATTTTCGAAACAGACTCTTTCTCTAGGGTCTGAGTATTTTTTTTGTGTGTATTTTTATTTTTAACTCAGAAATAATCCGGTCTTTTTTTTTACAAGCTCTAATAAAAATGGAAATGCTTAATATTGCTGCATTTTCATAGTTCACCTCACCTGTGCTGGTCTTATTTGTGGCTAATCTAAGATATTACTTCATTGAGTGAATCTTAAATTCTATGGAAGAAAAGAGGATAAACAAAACTTACAACACATTTAACCAGCAGGGCCATCCTAAATCTGTGAAACAAGGAACTTCACAATTCAGCTGAGCTGACAAGAGCTCAAGCATTC